CCCGGCCGTACCTCCCGCTGCAGCACCAGCTCCTTGGTGAAGAGCGTGGCCTCCTCGCTGAAGGGCTCCCCCTCCTGCGCCAGCCCCGGAACGTTCCGGGCACCCCGCGGACACTCGATCCCTGCGGGAAAACCGGGAATCAGGGACCGGGAATGGATCCTGGGAATGGATCCCGGGAATGGATCCTGGGAATGGATCCTGGGAATGGATCCTGGGAATGGATCCTGGGAATGGATCCTGGGAATGGATCCTGGGAACAGATCCTGGGAATGGAACCTGGGAATGGATCCTGGGAATGGATCCTGGGAATGGAACCTGGGAATGGATCCCGGGAATGGAACCTGGGAATGGAACCCAGGAATGGATCCTGGGAATGGAACCTGGGAATGGATCCTGGGAACAGATCCCGGGAATGGAACCTGGGAATGGATCCTGGAATGGAACCCAGGAATGGAACCCAGGAATGGATCTGGGAACGGAACCTGGGAATGGATCCTGGGAATGGATCCCGGGAATGGAACCTGGGAATGGATCCTGGGAATGGAACCTGGGAATGGAACCCGGGAATGGAACCCGGGAATGGAACCTGGGAATGGATCCTGGGAATGGATCCTGGGAATGGATCATGGGAATGGAACCCGGGAATGGATCCTGGGAATGGATCCTGGGAATGGAACCCGGTAATGGATCCTGGGAATGGATCCTGGGAATGGATCCCGGGAATGGATCCTGGGAATGGATCCTGGGAATGGATCCTGGGAATGGATCCTGGGAATGGATCCCGGGAATGGATCCCGGGAATGGATCCCGGGAATGGAACCTGGGAATGGATCCTGGGAATGGGACACGGGGATGGTACAGGGATTGGACACAGGGATGGGGACAGGGATGGGACACAGGGATGGGACACAGGGATTGGACACAGGGATTGGACACAGGGATGGGGACAGGGATGGGACACAGGGATGGGGACAGGGATGGGACACGGGGACACATCCAGCCCCCATCCCGACCCCTCCGTCACAGCCGCTCCCCTGTCCCTTCTCCCACTGTCCCCAGGATCCCCCTGCCCCGGCTCGGAGCGAGGTCCTGCATCATTAATGATCATTTACATAATTTGCATAATGAATGAAGAGCCAGGAACTGCAGCTCCCAGCCGGAGCCCCGAGTGAGGAGGTGCCACATCCCCAGGGCCACGTCCGTGTCACCAACACCAGGGACACAGGGACACAGCTCCTGCC